AAAAAAAAAAAAAAAAAATTAACATTAAACTGAAACTATTCCCTGAAGTCATCTTTAAAGAAAGGAAAATATCAGTGGTTGCCAGGGACTCTGAGGAAGGAAGGGAGAGATGAATAGGTAGAGCACAGGTGATTCTATTCCTTATGACACTGTAATGGTGGACACATGACTTGTAATTGTAGACTCATTGACATAAAGCATTTGAAAAATCTATTGGACTATAGAACACAAATAGTAATTCTAGTGTAAATGATGGCCTTTAGTTTATAATAATGTGTACTATGAACTTTATTTAATAATTAATGTATTGATACATTATTATTTAATAATAATGTATTGGTTCATCAATTGTCACAAATGCACCACAATTTTGCAAGAAGTTAATAATAGGAGAAACGGTGAGTATGTGGTAGGGGTGGGAGTGATGTATGGGAATTCTCTGTACTTACTGTGCAATTTATTTTTTTTTAACAAACTTAAAACTGCTTAAAAAATAAAGTTTGTTAAAAAAAAAAAAAAAAACTCCCCCTGACAGAGAAAATTGTCGGTACCTGTTTCTGATCTGCAGAACCTGGCCACCATCTCTGGGGCACCCTTCATGTAGGCATGGAAGTAATCCTCCCCAGCCAGCTGAGCAACCACGGACATCCTCTGCAGGCTTGAGGAAAATGGAAACTGGAGCAGAATGGCAATGGCTTCCACAGGACTCTGCAGCACCCAACAAAGGGAGCTTTAAGAAGTTTTCAAGGGAGATTGAGCAAGCACAGCAACAGATAGGGTCTACTCTGGGATATAATATGATCCTGATGGGCCCAGGGACACAATGAAGTGGTAAATTCATCGCAATATTCTTATTATTATGACTGCATAAAGTGACTCCTCCACTAGGATGTTTGGTCCACAAGGCCTTTTCCCTCGTCTGACTGGATATATTTTGATTACCTTCTGGGAAAACTCACAGGTCCCATCCTCTTAGTACTTCTCTCTCCCAGAAACAGTCTTCACTCTCTCTTCTAGACCCCTATGGTTCTCTCTTCACCCTTTATTACAGCACTCAGCACATTGCATTGCACTTATCTGTACCCACATTGATTTTTCTACCAGACTGTGTGCTCGGAAGGAAGGTTGGGCAATCTACTTCCGTAGTGATACTGCCTCAGAAACCCAAGAAAGGGTTGTTATGAGTTGGGTCCGACTCCATGGCACCTAACAACAACAACATGTGCTCTTCCAGCACAGAGCCAGCATGCATAGTTCTTAAAACTCTCTACCTGCTAGCACCTAACATAGTTCTCCAGCACATATAGGTACTCAGTGGGTGTTTGTTGAATAAATTAATGGACAAATTGAGGAATGATAGAATATAAAAAGAGAGAAAAAAAAAAAAGGAAGTAGGAGTTGTTGGTTTAGTTGCCACCAGGTCAAATATAATTCATAGTGACCCCATGTGTCACAGAGTAGAACTGCTCCATAGGGTTTTCATGGCTGTGACCTTTTGAAAGCAGATCATCACAACTGTCTTCTGAGGTGCTTCAGGGTTGGCTTGAACAGCAAACCTTTCTGTGAGTAACCAAGTGCTTAACCATTTGTGTCACCCAGGGACAGGAATGTAAAAATATATGAAAGTCGTGGGAGTTTTCCTAGTTGTTTTTTTTGGGGGGGGGTATTTTTATTTTTATTTTTTTTTAATTTTTTTTGTTTATTGTGATTTGGGTGAAGATTTACAGAACAAATTCACATTCCATACAGCAGTTCACATATACTTTGTCTCATGTCATTGACCATAGTTTACCACAATGCAACAGCTCCCCTCCCACTTCCTCCCCATAGTTAC